CTGTATTGTCACTACTAGTCATGATTATTCGAAAGATACGATTTAACCTGTAGATGTGCAATACCTCCAATTTCAAATTTTCAAGTTTTGATAAGGGCATGATCAATAATGTCAAATGCTTTCACTAAATTTAGAAACAAACCAATAGGAATTTCTTTCTGATCTAGACCCGTGTACGAAGTTGTAACTTGAAAGTAACAATATAGCGGCACAAAGGAATAGAACTGTATGTGATTCGAATTTCCGTCACCAAATGTAACTGAGAGTCAACAGGCAACAGGATGACTTAGTTTTAACATCCCATTAATATCCTCTGTAGTATGACACTCCTTTACATGAAGTTTAAATAAACAATCTTCTTTCAATACAAACGAGTACTACTTATGACTAATCTGTATTTTCAATCCTTAAGTAATGCAAAATATATAAAAATACGGAAGGATGGAAACAGTTCAGAGAAAAACTGCTACAGTTTCGTGAATATTTGGAATATGTTTCGTATCTACAAATACTTAGATCCCTTCCCTTCCCTTCCCCTATCGCGCGCTAGTAGGGGAAACACAGCGTGACCTTATGTGGCGAACTGTTACATTCAAAATATCCCTTAAACACTAGTCGCAAACAATCAAAATTACTAAAAAATATGCTTATCTAACATAACACAACATGTATATCATTGGATTCGTCTGTTTACGCTCGTAATGATAGACTAAAAAAAGATGTATAGTTCTATTATCTATATGTAAGCCGTCCGCGAAATTTTCTAGTTTTCTGGAAGAAAGTATTTCTTCGGACACCGATGCGGGGAGTGAATTTAGCCGTTATTAGCGAAGTAGTACACGCTGAGGTCTAGTAAAGTGCAATCAGCAGCGAGCGAGAGACCTGCACGAACGGAATTCGCACGAGTTATCCTGTGAGGTGCGAAAAATCTTCGCACGCGGGCGTAGTAAAAGGCGCCGGGGGTAGAAGACGAAGACGGAACCGGGCGTAGGAGGCAGAAGAGAACGGAGCCGGGAGCACAAGAGGACACTAGAAGGCAGCAGCAGTCAGCCGAGGCGAGTCCCGCCATTGGCATCGCAAAAGCCGGGGGCGAGCGGCGTCGACGGAGAGGCCAACCCGCGCGAAGGTCAAACGTCGAAATCTAGAGGAAGTACGAGTGTTGCCTTTTATATTTCAGGATTAGAGAACAAAAACAAATATTAATAATCGAAAATCACTTCATTGTTTTTCAAAATATTCCCCATGAAGATCTATAAACTTTTGCATGCGTTTGAACCAATTGTCGAAGCACTTTTGCCACTCTGATTGAGGTATCTCCAAAACATGCATTCTGAATGCAGCAACCGCTTCTTCAGGTGTCGGTACGGGAATAAAAAGAAGTCATTCGGTGCCAAGTCAGGACTATACGGCGGATGACTCATCAAATCGATGTTTTGGGTGCTCAAAGATGCAGTTGTTTGAGCCGATGTGTAAGAGCTCGCATTGTCGTGCTGAAGAGTGATCCGTCTTCGGCGGTTGGTTTTCCTGATTTCTTGGTAGACAGCTGGCAAACAAATCGTTGTGTACCACTCAGAATTGACTATTTTGCGTTGTTCTAGTGGTACGGTTACGACATGTCCAGTTTTTCCGAAAAAAAAAGGCGACCATCTGTTTGGAAGTCGCGCGCGAACAACTTTTGTTGGATTTTGCTAATCTTGAAACACCCATACAGTCGACTGCTGTTTACTTTCGGGCTCATACGCGTAAATCCACGATTCATCACATGTCACGATGTCATAGACGTGTTTTGAAACACCGCGATCGTATTTTTTGAGCATTTCTTTCGACCAATCGACGAGCCTTTTTTTGAGCGATTGACAAATTGTGTGGGATCCGCGAACAAATTTTTTTGACAAATGTTCATGCAATATTGAATGTATGCTGGTCCCACTAATGCCTAAGGTTGTCTCTATCTCACGATAGATCTTGCACTCATGATGATCATGCAATATCAGTTCACGCACAGCATCAATGGTTTCCGGAACAACTGATGTTGGACGACCTTCGCTAAATTCGTCTTGGAGTGAACTACCACCACGAATGAATTCACCATACCATCGATAAACACTGGTCCTTGATGGAGCTTCATCGCCGAAAATTGAATTAAGTTCATCCATGCACTGTTGCTGAGTTAATCCACGTCGAAAGCTGTAAAAAATAATCGCACGAAAATGTTCAGGATTTAATTCCATTTTTGGGCCAAGATGAATCTTTTAAGTTACTGTAAACAACACAAATAGCGCTCGTATGTCAAAACGTTCTGAGTACGTATAACCTCAAAACATCCAACTTTACAATAGAGCTGTCAGTTGCCAGATTGCAACACCAGGGCTGCCAAATCCCGAATCATAAAAGGCAACCTTCGTAACGGTGCGTGAGCATCGCAATAAGTCGGTCAAATTGACGTCGGCCGGGGAGAACTGGTTAGACGGAAAGTGCGATGGAATTAAGGACAAGGGAGGCAACAATTCAAAGTACTGGCCATTTAAAAGCACTATTGCCTACAAAGAAATTTGTAAATAGGTCATTTTCATTCTTGTTATTCACAGCCACAGCGAAAGTTGTGTACGAGTATAGAGAATGGTGCATTTTGCATGTAAAACTGTGAGGGAAATGAAAAATTGTTAATTTTGTTCATGTCCAGTGTAATTAGGAATGGTAGCAGATTAAGTCAAGCAGAGTTACAAAGGGTTAGTAGTTATTCGTGCCTGCCTGCCTGCCTGCCTGCCTGCCTGCCTGCCTGCCTGCCTGCCTGCCTGCCTGCCTGCCTGCCTGCCTCGAGGATCAGGGAAACTGGACGAAAACCTGATCGAGATCTAAATGGTATATAATACATTAAATGTCATTGTTAAAATTAATATTACTTTTCTTTTGGGTGTTCGGTATAGTCTCTAATTTATAGAAACATTCGTGCAGCAGAAAAGATTTTACTTGGGACTTAAACTCTTGTATCGAATTTAATCTTTTAATGTCATATGGCAAGGTGTTGTAAAATGTTTCCTTCCACGTGTATTATATATGAATTTTTGTAGTGAGCTGTTTATACTGTCACCTGATGAATATAATTATTACGTAGAGTGTTGTAGTTATAGACAACGGCGTTTGCTGAAATTATTTTCCCACCCTTAAGTAAGTCATTTTTGACTAAATCCACTGATTTATATATGAAGAGACACGCTAATTGTATAATACCTAGATTAATAAAGAGAAGCTTACTAGAATCACGTGGGTAGGATTTGCTTATTATTCGTACAATTCTTTTTTGTAATCTAAAAGTCTGGAAGCTATAAAATGTATTTTCCCAGAATATTATACCATATCTCAGGCGGGAATGAACATTCGCGAAATATACACTACGAGAAGTGTGGTGGCTGGCTGAATTTTAAAGAATTCTGAAAGCCTAGCATAAAGAACCGAAAGCGTAGCTTAAAGAACATTCGTATCATCCGCAAAGAGAACTGTCCTTCCGTTTCTAATCGTCGAGAGCATATCGTTTACGTTGGTATCAAGAAAATAGGGCCTAAAATCGATCACTGCGGGACTCCACGTGCAATTGGCAAAGAATCTGGAAGGTGTGTACATAATGTTCCATCATGCCAATAAGGTATTTCTACTCTTTGAGATCGTTTTTTAAGGTACGAACCTAACCAATCTAGAGCAATATCACGAATTCCATACGAAGGTAATCTTTAGAGTAAAATGTCATGTTCAATGACGTTAAAAGCTTTTGAAAGATCTAAAAATATTCCAATAGGTGCTTCGTTTTGACACATGGATGAGGTGACATCTTTAAGAAAAGAAAATTTGGCTGTATCCGTAGATTTTGATTTCCGAAATCCATGTTGGCAACCTGAAAACGCGTCGTAGTTACTAAGATTCGTACGTTACGTACTTTTATTCGTACGGTAAAAAAATCTCTATAATGTTTGAAAAAAAACGGCAAAAGAGAAATTGGCCGATAATTTTGAATTTCATTTTTGTTGCCTTTTTTGACAAGCGGCTTAAGCGGTTGCATTTTGTGGCTAAAGACCCTTAGTGAGACCGGCAGCAATTCTCGAAAAGTATCGGTTAAAGAGACTAGCCCCTGTTGTCGGATCGTTCACATTTCTATCGTTATCTTTTAAAACAACATTCTCTACAAGGTTTATAGTTGATGTGGTCGATTTTTTTTACTATATTCCACATTGCTCTTGTTTTATTATTTGAGTTCAAAATATCCTGGTCATGTTTCATGATTTTAGCCTGCCGTATACTTTTCTTAACAATGATTTATATTTTTTAAAGTAGAGGAGGAAACCTTGAGATACGATATGATGCTTAGAAATGAAAGAAAGAATTCGTTTGTTTTTACATGATGTTCTAATCCCTTGTGTTATCCAAGAATTGCTTTTCCGTGAAATATTTAATTTTCCCTTTCGAAGAGGAAAGCAAGTGTTAAATGAAATGAAAGCTTTGAAAAAAAAGAAAGAATCGTCTGTATCAACAGTATTGTAAACCGCGTCCCATGTCTCTTGCAGCAAGAAATTGATGAATATTTTTTTTTTTACTTTTAGTAAATAATCTACTCATACGGGTATTATTTATTATGTCAGTTTTCGCATTTCTTATAATGAGAAGAATATGTGCGTTGTGATCACTGTATCCTAAATCTTTTGTTTCAATTTCATATCGAGTAGCGGTTTTGTTAATTATTATTTGATTGATTGCCTTCTTTGAATTTAGTGGGATCCGTGTAGGTACATTTATTGTAATATCTAAACTGAAGGAATGAATTAAATTGAGAAACTGCTCTTTCTCGCGAGATTCCACCAGAAAATCAATGTTAAAATCTCTACATATAACAATGAATTGTCAATGAAACAACCATAGTTTGTCGACGAGGATGTTTCATGCTCGTCTCAGATCAACACGTACTTCTTAGGCAATTGCACCCATTCTCGGTGCAGCTGTGCTGTTGACAGATGAGGCTTATCGCCACGGTGCGTTGTCTACGCAATTCAGGCCAGGTAAGTAACAGGTCAGATAAAACACTGTCGGAGAGGCGAAGCTTACAAAATACAGCCCAGCAAAATACAGATTTTTCATTCCTGCTCCTAATAATAATAGAGCCAAACTGGAACGCAATGGAAAATCTTTGAAAAATCAAGTGTCCGTGGTGCAAAACGCCGAAATAAAAATTAGTTTTGCTAAGGGAGCCATTGGGGGAAAAGTAAAGTGAAAATCGGAAAGCGTAATATAAAAAATCGTAGATATGGTATAATGGGTTGCATGGTAAAAGTTTTGGTATGTGTGTGGTGGGAGTTCCAAAAGAATGGGCATGAGAAATGTGAATAAATTTAAGTTTGCTTCTGTAACCTCTGTCAGTGTAATGGCAATTCAGCTATCAAAATGATTTTAACAGATATACGTTTCTGCAGAAAATTTGGATAAAATATTGATATTAGACTCTGCTATTAATTTTATATTCCTGAAAAAAGTGCCTAATTAAATCCTTTTCTGGTCAGTTTTTGATGGAATTATTTTTAAATGCCTGATTTAATCATTTTAACCTATGTAAGTGCCTAACTAATGTTTAAATGTACCACGTAAATAATAAATTATTTCTACGTATCGGTCACGACACAAGAATCAGAAGAGATCGATACACACAGTAGTATTAAGGTGGCTGTCAAGGTGCATCGTAAACCCGGGAATAACCCATAATTTCTAAATTTTGTCACCTATTTTAAGTGCCTAAATCATAACTTTTTAGTGCCTAAAATTCCTAGGCCTAATTATGACACAGTGTAAAATATCTTACCCACTGTCAGTTAGTTGGTTCGAGAACGACTTGGCTAGTTCGTTTGAAAACAATTCAGCTATTTCGGTCGCGAACGAGAGTAGCAAGTGCACGCGCGTGTGATGGCGAATGTGAGAGAATATGAAATTAATGTGATACGCAGTATTAAAGTCGTGATATTTTAAAATCCGTGTCTAGTCTGGGACATTTATCTATATTCCTTCAGTTTCTAAAATGTTGTAACTAAATACGTGTGTCTTCAGCCAATATCAACAATGTGTAAGCATATTATAGGTTATGTGTGTTCTTTAAGTATTATGTTATTTATTAACGAGCTAATGAAGATGTTTCAATGATTGTCAGTGACCCGCTATAAATTCCTGTTAACTGTGACGAGAAATAATTATTTTTTGCGCCAATTGAGTTTGGAATCTCCGAATGTATTCGCAAAGCCGGAATCGAGATGCCGGACAGTGGAGGACAATCCAGTAAGATTTATTGGTATACTTATTTATGTCTATATTATTTTGGGGTACAGAATAAGTAAGTTATGTGAAATAGATTCCTGACAGGTTTCATTGAATTCAGTGTTGTGTAATTTTGTTCAAACTTGTATCATATTGGGCATTGTGCATTAATTTAATATATTCTAGACACACCTAATTTTATTAAAAGTCTTGTTTTTGTTGTATTATTTTTTTAGCTCAATCACAATTTAGAACATGAAGGTCGTTTCTATGTTGTTCCACCTGCAGTGTGCAATCAGCTATTCAGATTTGGTGGTATTCCCAAAGGTTATGAAGTTCAAGCTAAAACTTTTGATGAAACCTGTCTGATGATACGCAAGCCTGCCCTGGAAGTAATTAATATGATGAAAGTTGCTGATTATTCTAGACCTATTGTTAAATACGTTCTGTGTATCCTTATTTACCCCATACTTGTTTGGATATTATTATATTTTTATGTGCTATGGCTATTTCTTTTATGTCATTATTACCGAAAATTTACCTTAATAATGAAATGTTGGTGAGCGGGGTGGAGGCAAGAGTTTGACTCTTGCTCACATTCTACACTACGCTCTCAATTCAGGTCATTTAATTATTCATGTACCTTGGGGTAAGTACAAATTTCCTCCAATTTTTACATTAAGTTTCTCGACAAATAGCTCACTCATATTCTACAGTAAAAATGATCTAAGCCAGAATCGATTGGTTCACAAAAAAATCCTGTTTAGGAAGTTTTTCATTTTATGCCATTTGAGATATTGATGTTTCTGCCCCGGACGTAGTAAATTACATGACTTTATTTTAATTATCAAAATACATTAACGTATTTATGGAAGAAATCGCCAATAAATGAATATGTATTAAATACTTTAAATTGACAGCTTCTGAGTAAAAAAATACACACCTTTCTGGCTGTATTCGGACTGCTTGCTGACACTTTCAATGCACAATGAGTCACAATCCAGTACTGTGACTTTCTGATACATTGCATTGATGCATTGCATTGATGCATTGCATTGAGTAATGTGTATGTGGGTAGGGGGTTATGATTTTCAACGCAGAGCAGGGAGACCTGTTAATAGAAGCTAAGCTCGAACATGTTCCCACGCTCAGAGAGTCTGGTGAGAGGGAATTCCCTTACTGCTTATGTCTTGAAACACAAGTGACCCCCAAAGTCGATTACTATGCTGACAGCTAAGCCCCTCTCCTTCAATGTTCAGCTGCCACAATTAAATCACATGTTACAGGGATAGAGAATTTATAACAAGCTTGTAGGTGCATTCATTTCATTAAGAACATCTTGCATGTCTCTGCCAATTGCATTACATTCATAGGAATTCCGTTTTATAAAGATTTTTTTCTCTGCAAGACATGGAAAACTTCTGTTTTATGTTGTGTAAAATGCCATTTAGCTTGTGGGCCAGAGAAATTTTCCAGTTAAGGCAGGTTTCCTGCTTGTACAGTTTCTGGTTTAGACAGATTTTACTGTATTTGAGTTGATTCTGTGCGTAGATGAGATAATTATTTCAATTATTAAGATGTAGCTTTAATTTTCATGCATGTTGAAATTGTGACTACAATTTGTTTCTGAAACTGTAAAATAAATGTCCTATTTGTAACATTATCAGTTGAAAGAGAATTGTAATTTGTCATAAAGATTTTAATGGATTTTAGTGCCAGATTGGATGAAGAAGTGCAAAGACCATACCCGTTCAGAAACAAGAGAAGGTTTCAGGGATACACCCCTAGATTCTGCTGCTTGGCTTGCCCATTTCAAGACTCAAAACCAACACTTACTGTCGCAAACAGATGTATGTTAATGAGAGTTAAATGATTGTATTCTTCACACTTAAAGTTTAGGGTAATTGTGTGTAACATGTCAAGTTTGATTTTTAGCTTACTGTTACAAGTAATTACACTTGGAGCAAGCGAGAAGAAACTCGTTCAGGGTCTCCATTGTTAGAACTCGTTGATCTGGGAATAAACCGTATTAAATATGCATCCAATATCATTGTTGCTCTTGCTTCAGAGGTTAAGGCACTGTCGTCAAGTGGCAGGTATGTTTGATAAATAATTTTTTATAAAGAAAACTTGTGGTTATTTTAATTATTTTAATATGTGTGTGTGTGTGTGTGTGTGTGTGCATATGCAGTGTTATCTTAAGGTATAGCCATAAGGATTGTTGCACGAGATCAGAGGGTTCTAGTGGCCCGCTTTGGAATTCTGCAATTGTTTTTCACCCTGAGTGTGAAAGTATCCCATGTTCCACAGTTTTGTAGCTGGGAAGGTGGCTAACTTTGTGCTTGTGATAAAAGAATTCAGAATGCTTAAGATACCTACTTTTCTTACAATTCATGTTTAGAATTTTGAATAGTAAATATTAAACTTGTTTTGTACTTGAAGGCCTTAGAACATTTTGGAAATTTTCTCAGAAATGGCTCCAAATTTTCCTTGAAATCTTTTGCATAGATATAAGAATCTTTGCCTTTAAAAATACTACAGGTCCAATTTTCACTGAAATCTGAATTTTCCAAAATTTTGGAAGTTTAAAATTTGTTTGACCCCTGTCCTACAACTACAGTATTGTAGAAGATTTTGTTGTATATTAAGTCTGTTCTTCAAATTTAGATTTTAAGTTCATGGTATGGACAATTGTTTCAAAATATTAATAGTTGTAGTATTTTTTACGGTAATTGTGACAATTTAAATACAAAATATTTAAATAAGATTTTCTCAAACAGCTACACATATTTTTTGCTTGGAAATTATTATTATCTAATCAACGATTTTTTTTATTACATTAATATGCATTGATTTATTTTTCACATGTTTAAATAATGTGTAAAATCGTTAATTTTTAATCAATTTGTAAATATATTAATTGTTTAGTAGCTTTTTACGTATTTTGTAGTTTTTTACAAGCATGGCAAAATTTAATTAATAATATATGTATATTCTTTATTTAAATAATATTCATCCATTACTCATGAGAAATGAATGTAACTCAGTTTAAAATGAATATGGTCATAGAATTTCTAGAAACAATAACACCCATAATTGTAATCTAATAATGTATTTGAATGAGGATGATTTTAGGAAAACTGGTAATTCTATCTCTTTCTTAATTCATACTGAATACTATAATATCACTAAAATATTAGTACATTCATTGTGATTTTTCATTTTATTAGTTTTACTAACATGAAATTAGTGGTGTACGTATGTGTCATGTTTTGCAGTTGGAGAGAGATGGACATTTGAGGAATTCTGTTAGTAAAGTTTAAAAATAGAGATGTACTTTCATATTTTGCTAGTCTTGAAAATTAATATTTGAATTAATATAATTGAGTTAAAAGTCCGAAAAATTAATCAATGTGTACATTAATAGGTGTAAAAATAAATTTCTAGTTTTTGATGAATCGTATAAAATTATCAATTGTTACAGTAATTGCGATTAAATTGCCTGTCTCTAGTTAAAATGACAGCCAGAGCAAATTATTTTCTCCTTCCTTTAAAGTTCTTTTAAGAATAGAGCACATTGCATCGAATTCAGTGTCAGAAATGCATTTCATTTACTTATTAAATTACAAAAATTGAATATCCTATTTTTTTAACCTCTTGTACAGTTACTACTGTCAGAAAATGTGTGCTCTTTTAACCATAATTAATTTGAATTAAACTTATCAATTTCTGTTTATTTGTTGTAACCTATTTTAACAGTCTGTTCAAAATTAAGATCTTGCACTCATGAAAAACACTAAACAAGTTTTTGAGTACATTATGTGATTTTTGGGTTAATTAAAGAGCCATCATAACAACGTAATTTTGGGGGGTGTGAACAAGTGTGTTAAGTGTTGTGTGTTTATAATATTATAATTTTTGTTGAACCTTGACCTTTTTTGCCTTAATTATTATTGTCGTATTTGCTCGTGTATAAGCTGCACTTATTTTCTTACAGGAAAATAACTCGTGAAAGGGGGGTGCAGAGTATACACGAGGTTTTTCTTAAAAAAAAAAAAAAAAAAAAAATCATTGGAAGATATACAAAATTTTATGCCGAAAACCTTTATTTTTCAGGAATACACATAGTATGTTAGTTGTTTATGTTAAATTTAATCCCTTTCATCACTTCCGGACTCACATCTCCCCCTGATTCGTTGTCACTTTCACAATCGCTTACAACATTCCATAACATATCGTCCTCGCTCCCGTCCATCGTATTACAAAGGCCGCGCACTTTAAAACTATTGGCGACCAGCTGCCTGGGAATCGATGCCCGCGCATCCGTAATCCACTGGCGCAGGTCGGTCACCGTGGCTCTCTTGAGACGTCTGCTCGGAGTCGTGGCTTCCGTTCGTTAGGCCCACGTGCGGTACAGACGTCACACGTGCAGTTTGAACGGCCGGTTAACAGCCAGGTTTAAGAGTTACAGCATCCCGCACATTCTGCCTTGTAATCACTCCGCGTTATCCTTCAGTACTCTTCTCAACTCTTCGGTTGCACGAGTCCGGAAACCGTTCAAAACTAGCATAGAATGATGTTTCAGCTGCCCACCGGGCCGCTGGAACCACACATGCTTCATCCAGTCCAGGTCTAGGTTTTCGTCCATCCATTCATTTTCATGGACACACACGCCATTATCCTGGGGAAAATCTCTTTTGGTATGGTTTTCCTCTTGAAAATCACGTATGGGGGCAACTTGCGCCCGTCCGCATAACTGTACAGCAATGTTTCTCTACTCCCACATTTCTTATTGGAACAGTCCCCTCGCCCGAGGTATGCAGTTGTTGCATTGGCCATGTCGAGAAAAGGGGGCGTCTGATCTGCATTTCCCATTTTCCCCATGATGTAATCTGGCTGCTTCCGTGTGTTAATCACACACGTGTGAAACAGCACCAGCTGTTTCCTCGTAAGCTTGCGACAGCTTTAGTGCTAGTATTGCTCGACGCTGTGGAGAGTCTGCGTCTCGCCGTGAACCGCCGCACTCACCCGTAGGTCGCTTGAAATTTGTTACAGAGGATACCGAATTTCCTTGCGATTTTGCTACCCTCGAACTGCAGTGTCTCTCGGGGAACGGCAAAACAGTTGCGCCGGGTTTCTCGAACGTATTCCAACAATTCTTCTTCTAATTCAGGATAGTTTCATTACTTGCCTCGAAAAAACAATTATTGCGGTTGATATTTTCCAAAAGAGTTCGTGTCGAATCATCCAGAAGACTTCAGGTCGAAGCGAAAATTATCAGTATACAAAAACGAAGTGGCAATCGAGCATGGAGGAGCAAAGCAAAACAAAACAAAACAAAACGGAACAACAACGCACAGGTTGTCTGCTTTGGAAGTAAATATTGCTCTCAGGTAGATGCGCAGAAACAATCAAATTTGGCATGACACTTCCCCTTCCCAATTTCATATTAAGGGTTTACCTTTTTTAAAAATTAATACAAATTTGTATTATTAAATTTTCTGAGCAACTGTGAATTATTCGGTGTGGCTTATACAAGAGATCTTTTTTCTTCAAATGAATGACAAAGATCATTAGTGCGGCCTATTCACAAGCAAAGATGGCAACTTTTAATTTAAAGTATTTTTATTATTTTTTTAACTTACCCTTTGTTGTGAAGTATTGAATTATTATTATTATTTTATATTAATTTGGAATAGCTAATGAAATAACTCTTCTTATTTTAAATTTGACCTCAAAATTTTAAAATAATAAAGCAGCTGACAGAAGAGAGGAGGAGGCTGCAGAAGAGAATGAAAAAACGTAAAATTTAATAAGTTTGCATCCGGGTTAATGCTCGCCAATACTAATGTTCCTTTTAATGCAAGCTAGAGACACACTTCATCAAGCTTTATGCATCAGGAACCTGATTATTTGATTCTGTTGTTTGGATAGGGAACTAGAGAAAGTGTCAGCAGAAATACCTTGGTGTTATTGAAGAAATTTCACAAGAAGAAATCTATAAAGTCTATGGGCAATGTTATTAATGTTACAAATACTGGACTAGGAATTTTTAATAGAATATACCTGTGGCACAACTGAAGGGGGATGTGTGTGTGGGCAAGGTGCTTCATTCACCCCTCCCCAAAGACAGTGACACAAATATAGTTTTTGCAAATTTTTTATAGTGAGAAAGCCATTCTCAATTAAATAAGTTATTTATAAATAAAAACAACCAATAAAAATTAATTTTAAATTCAGCAAGTTATAAATTCTTTATAAGAAAACATCCTGTTGACTGTACTCTACATCTGCAGCCTTACCCTAGTAAAACCTGGTTGGAATTACATAAGAACATTATTTCTTCTGAATGTAAATATTGTGCTGTTTTAGAAATCAACTCTTGTCAATCCTGTTAGTATTGATCTCAAAATAGACCAATATGATTGACCTATACAAGTAGGTGAATATGACTCAAATTTTCTTCTGCAGTTCCTTTTTCTGGCAATTTCTGAAAGTATCAGTAATGTAATATCCTCCTGAAAATGAACATGTCTACATGACTTGTGTCACAAGAAATGGAGATTTAACAAGGGCTCTGTGGGTAATGAACTTGTTGGCTATGCTTGTCAACAAAGATCTAATGTTGGAGAACACACAGGAGCTTTTTGATCTCAGACACACCTGTGAGATAATATATTTTTGAGAATTGACAGGTAGCCTGCAATCATGTGATGGTGGAGTAAAGGACTTTAGAGATAAAAGATTAGGGAAAATGTATTGAAAAGCACAAGAGTATACAATGTTCTCAAACAAAAGTTAACATGAAATAATGTGTTTGGTTGTTTTAGGGAACCAATATCAAATTATTTATGATGATCACTGTACTGCTAAGATATTTTTAGTAAAAATTGTTGAAATAATAATGTAATGTAGTGAATTTTAAAATTTTAATCTGGTTGTAAGGATGGCTGACTAACCATTTTATTACCTATTTTGTGTCCAATGTTGATATTGTGTTATCTCTCACGTTATAATTCTGAAAATGTAAATATGTTTGCATTTACTTGAAATATATAAGTTGTCATTCTCATTATTGTGGATATTTCTTTTCTTTCCAGATGCAAAACATTGGTTGCTATTGATGGTTTTAATTGCTTTTATAATAAACGAACAATGATTAAGGATGAAAACTGGAAAATTGTTCCACCGTTTCAATTAACAGTTACTGAAGCTTTTATTAATTTAGTAAATTATAATTGGGTATGTATTATCCATTCAACAAAAGTGTTAATAATTAGTTCTAGAGTTCAGTTGCACATGTTCACAGACTCCTTTTTTTTTTCTTCTTCAGACTAATGGAAGTGTGGTACTAACTGCAGACAGATTAGTCTGGTCAGGAAATGAGAGGGGAGAATCTGACCTCCCACTGTATCAGTTGGGCAAAGAGGTAAGCAAAATTAATTTTAATTTTTACTGATACGTTATCATAGCTTTTTATTGCCTTTGATGCAGAGCTTTATATACACTGCATAATTTTCTGGGTTGAGAGGATTGTGGTTACTAGGAAAATATGAAAGTAGTTGAATTATGCCACATGTTCTCTTATGGAGGGAAATATGAAAAGAGTCAAGTTAACATTTAGTTAATTAGTTAATACGTAAATCTGAATCAATAAAATCATATATCTACCAAGGGGATTAATTGGCTCTAATGATCTTGGGGGTGACACAAAGCCCTTGGGCATTTTGTCGCCGCTCGATCATGAGAAGCGGTTTTACACCGTTGGCGTGTAAATAATTATCATTGCCTTGGCCTTTTTAGGAGCAATAAGAATATTCCTAAAATCTTAATACTAATTTCATCGCAAGTAAAAGTTTTTCGCTTTCACTTCGTAACAATAAACTGCGAAGACGGTAAAAATATCGCGCGTATCCGACCGTACGACAATTATATTTGCGTTCGTATTTTCGGCACCCACCGCGAATTTGAGTCTATTCAGCCCCATATTTTTGAATGGGCATGGAAAGAGAGAATTTCAAAACGAATGGCATTTTATGAAATGAAACATTGTGAAAATGAATGCCGACATGTTTCACGATGTGTGTTCGACGAGGCCCCGCGGTTCGACACCCGGCGAATGCGAATCTGCGTTTTGAACAGTTAAATGGAGGACATCAACAAGTAGGGGCCGGATAGAAAAATCTGGTGACACAGAAGGAATGTTCTTAGGTGGTGTCTAATGCAAGACTACGAACAACGCAAATTTAGCCCACGAAATTTTCAGAAGGGCCTAAATAGTCAGATGTCGCAGCATAGGAGGAGGACCAAAAGGAAAGAAACATTGGTACATGGGAAGAATAGTGACAAAAACCATGATTATTATTTTATTTTAACCCGGGAGTGCTCACAATAGATCTGGGAGATCGAAACCACAGCAATTTTATGTTCCTGAATTATTGTGATACATTATTCATCTGATATTTCATGTTTTCCTACATTATACTTTTCTGAGAACGCCTAGCCTTCTATTTTTATCCTTTCATTGAATCATTTCCTGTGAACATTTTGAAACTTGATCGCTGCACGATATCTGTCTTGTGTGCAATGGCAATGCATTCTGAGCTCTTGGCGTAAGTGACGTACATGTCATGGCATTATTTTCAGCCGTGTCTATGAGAAGTGCCCACAGAAAATGTAATCATTTGTCATATCTAGGATCGATTGTCACTATTTCTTACCAAAGAGAAAGATGATGTGCAGGGGATGTCTGTAAGGAAATAAAAAAATGCAAACCTTGCAAAATGGAAACAAGACAGACTTTCTGAATATTTTTATGAAAGATGTAAAATATATCGCACCTCAAATAGAAAAGTGGCACAAGTGAGAATTTCTGATTTCTCAGAAATTTGCAATTTTAAGTTTCATAGTTCTATAATACTTGTTATAGATTGCACCAAATATTCACCTTCTAGCGAACAGTAATTGAACTAATTCAAAATCAACTTCAGAATAGTAGCAGTACCTCTTTGTAACCTATCGGCTTTTAGTTGAAAAATGACAATTTCACACTTTTCTATTGGAGGTGCGATATGTTTGTTTAAAAAAATTCTAAAATCATTTGTGGAAATTGCGTGTTTTTTGTCAATTTTTACCTTTCTCACCATAAGTATTTAGATGAGATTTCTGCAGTGTAGGGTTCATTAACAATGGGAGGCATGTACAAACTAAATAGAATACATATTTCAGTTAGTTGAGCTTTAGATCATTCGCATTCTCAAAAAGTTGCAGCTATATCTGAGAGACACATTACAAGCACTGGCACGAGTCTACCTATTGGGGGAACTTGTGGGCTAAGGAACAAGAAAATGATAATTTAGCAATAAGTCTTAGCTTTCTCATCAACAAGACACTTTTCTAGTTAATAAGGCAATTTGGAATTTTATTTTGACTAAATAGTAAGAATTAGTTACAAATTTAAAAAATTCACAAGAAGCCTCTTCAAAATCGGGGGGTTGACTTATACGCGGGTAAATAGAGTATTCAAAGATTACAACATTACAAATTAACAATTTGTCAGGAATAGTGATTTATGTAACAAGTCCTCTAAATTATTCCATGAATAATAGAGGACATGTTAAATATGGAATTCAGTTGGTGAGAGTACCATGTTCATTAATACTTTCAATTATATAGTATAATTTTATGTAACCTTCTGATATAATATGAGAATGTAAGTGCTGTCATAGTCCCTCTAGTTTGTATTTTTTGTGATAATTAATGATAGAAGATAATTTAGTTGAGATAGGAAATAATTTTGTTCACAGAAAATCTTATCTTATTTATTCTTTTTTAGGCTTTTGAGCTCTTGGATCCATTTATACCTGTTCATGTACCATGCTATAGCGAAAAAGAATTCCATAGCTGTATGGATTATTATATGGAGAGAAGTTGGATTCAGAATGAAAATGGAAATACTGAAGAAGGAAGAAGTGAATTGATGTATCTTTCTACTATGAATCCATATCAACTGATGAAAATTTGTGGTCCATTGTAAAATTTTCAAACACTGTTCAAAGTAGTTTAAAGTTATCCTTTTTGTATGAAAATAATGAAATAAAGTTTTATTTGTTATCTGTTGAAATTTTATTAAAGAAATTTCAGCTGTAAACGGTTTTGTGGTCACAGGGTGAATATTCTTAATTAACCTTAGTTTTGAGAAAACAAGCTATATAATCAGTGGCAGCTGATGGGGCTGGGCTTCTGGGCTGGAGTCCTTGTCAGAATTTTTTAATTTCTCTTTGATATTAAAATATATGCGAAACAGTATTTAATTCAATTACATGACCATTATAACCCATTGCTGATGCATGTGTAAATTTCAGAAGCTTCTGCCGTGTTCTGCTGCGATTCTATTTCCCGTCCCTGGGACTGCCAGTCCCTACTGCTTGCACGGACGTATGGGCATAGTTGATTTCGCTTCCCTTGCTGTTATGTATCTCAATATTGGAACCTGAAGGGCCGCAGGAGAGGTTGTGTGGAGGTGTTCAATTTCATTATTTTGATCCAGAATTATCGCAGTGTGAAATTAAGTTTTATTTAATGTGTTACCTCGTTAGGAAGTGTAATTTGATTGGTTAGCTGAACTATCTGAATCAGGGCCATATTTTCCAAATTTAAATTTCTAAGTATTTATAAGAAGCTGTGTAGTATTAGTGAAACTTGTTTATTTGTGCACGGTAAATAATTATTCCAATGTTTTGGAATGATTCATTAATCAGTGTAATTTTTTGTATCTTGCATAAATTATGGTGCCGATTATTTTAGTAAGTTTTTAAAGAAAGTATTGCAATTATGAGTCCATCGCTTAGTTGAATTTAATTGTGTTACCAACATTTTTATTGATATCCTATGTTTTTCAAAGTATCCTATGTAGCTTTAGATTTATCGTGAGACATCCTAAAGAACTGAAATAATTTTTCATCTTCCACCAGGTCGGGATATATGTGAAATTCCCCTTCTGTTATCGTTCTGTTTGGAAGAGAAGAGAATTTGGACATTATTCCACTCCTTACCTAATTTCCTTCTGCTTTTACCCCATCATCACTACGGAATTTCTCCTAATAACAACTCCAATGAAACAAAATTCCCCAACTGAGAAACGAAAAATACTCTCCAAATTGTGGCTCAACGACATGAGCTGTCTCTGACGATTTCATTGGCTATCCCCTTAAATTCGAATTCTTCAAATCAACCAATCATCGCCTTTTGAGCTGCTTCAAACGCTAAAAACGAAAAATTAAATAGATTCAGCCTTACTGCACAATGCTGCACTGTGCTGCCCAATTCATGCTATTGTAAACACTTTCTCTTGGGGTACGAGATGAAACCACCTTAACTTAAAAATTTGAATCACAAACAACTACATAACATTTTATGGAGTACAGAGAAAGTGCCAGTCCTGCATCACAACATCCAGTGTTAACAGGATGTTGGCATCAGGTGGGCGTCCAATGGAAAAATCAGCTGATATAACGTCACAAGTTCGCGCGGACCACTAGCTGATGTGTGCCGTCTGCGAGAGGGAGAGATCTCACCACTCGGCAGTGTTGCCACAACAGCTGTTGGCCTACTCATGCTGCTGCTGTCATCCCCTTCCCTGCCTGTCCTATAGAGTAGGACAACAATAAATAAATAATATCGGAAGACTTGAGGAGGAGCAGCGGAAGAGCGGGGCATCTTATCGATGCACGAGGAGAGAATCACACTTCACTTTCTGACTTCAATGCTTTGGATTACAACGTATCGTCCAGACTGAATCGACAGCAGCGAAACAAACCACGTTCGAGAAAGACACGTTGACTCTTCCTGAGTGACGACACGATTCCTGTGAGTACTTGCGTTCCCTAAGCTCATTCAGTCAGGATGTGATATCATGGACGCACGTATAAGACGATGCATACTTTTTTATTAGTCTACCATAGTCATCGAAGCATCCGGACGGAGCGCACCAGAAAAAGCATCGACCACGAGGAAAACTTGTGTCGCAACGAACAACTCGAACTTATTGTCAAGACAGCTAAAAGAGAACAGCTCCAAGACATTAATGAAGTCATCAAACAATACTACTCAACACATCCGCGCTCTCTCAGAACGCTCGACAACGAAAGTCTTCATCATCTGCCCGTCGCATGTCTCTGCCATTCCTCGGCGCGAGAAGCGGGAGAGGTGGGTGCGGTCTTCGAGCGTCTACCCGAGGACGTTCAAAAGCTTCCTTGCATTTTCGAACTTCTACCCTATCAGAAACTTTACAACATCGGGCGCACACATCAACGGACCGACGAAACGGGACTGCGCCGCTGGTCGACGTAGGATGATTGAATGCGAGTAATACATCGCCGACAACAGCATGGATTGGGTAGACTGTACAATGATTGTCGGAAGTATCACTCAATTGGTCGAGATTGTGACCGCCGATCTCGTGTGTTTTCTTTTGTGAACTTTGTGGCAACCTATACACTCCATCCCATCTATTGTCTTCTCTTTCTCCATTCTACTCTCCCTCCCCTTTCCATAGTGTATAGACGTACACTTTCAACTGATTTTATGCCCAATGTGTCATATCGACATTGGACTCTGGATGAAAACAATCTGAATGATATATTTTGTAAAAAGTGCATTGAAGGGTGGATGAAAAGGCAAGGTGAAAAGAAAGAGGCGCAAACTTATCCGATATGTAGATTCGTCTTGTATGTCTCGTAGACCCCCAAACACCATCATCAAGCGATGAAGAGGATGAAGCTGTGGTGGAGATAGAGGAAGAAGAGTATGAAGAAAATGTGATATTTACCATTCAAGTACATTTTTGTCAGTCTTTCCTTCGCACCTTGGCGACAACGATAAACATGGCTCTGAGACGACACTCTTTCCTATACAGAACTCCTCGACAGAGACGAACGTGTGTAGACATTAACGTGCGTTTTATTGAAGGACTCGATCTGGATGTCGGCGGTGAAGATGTTTTCTTGGTCGGGATTGACGTTCCACCACGTGAGCTTGAAAATTCATCCACTTGACGGGAAGCGTGCATTATGTCACGACTGTGAAGGTAGTGGGGGAGGATGGAAAAGTGGTGGGGGTCTTCGTAGTAATAAACGCTTTGTCATCTGAATCGACAACAGCTCACCGCTATCAGCATAAGACATGTGTGACAACGAATATTCTGGGGAAGAGGTGTACGAAGATGTGGAAAAATAACACAACGGTGGAGCTGTCGTCCAAGATGGTGACACAAAAGCTTATGTAGACTCACGTTTCACGCGCGTGCGAGAACTATCATCCAGTATTCAATTGGGAACGTTCAGTGGTGCGAAGATTTGCGTGCCGATCTGCAAGGCTTGATTGCAAATCAATCAAAATGTCTACGGCAATGGGGAAATTGTTAACCCTACAACTCTGACCTTTTCGGATTTCAAATGTTGGTAATCCTATGGAAGCACTCGACGCTACCCCCAAAGCGTTCGTCAGCAAACTCGGTAACTTCAATGTAACACGCATCGTTAACCTAGGGCCGAATACACTCACAAAGACGATGCTGCCACAAGACGCTACGTGGACGACATGCTTCAACATCGACGGGACACCGCAACACCCTTCAGCGGACCGGTGAAAACGGTGAACACTACTACTTTCAAGGAAAACGACTCGCCGGCGTCGCCAACCTCGTCGACGCAAATGATGCTATCAATCTCGAAACACTACGGCGTCTCTCGACAAAAACTAGATGATTTCCACACTGTGTTTTTGTAATGGGAGGCAATGTCTTTTAAAATTTAAAAGTTCTTGCATCACAAGGACGGGCCACGTGACCTTGTGACGTCACATCAGCAGTTTACGTCGCGTCAGACGTCCACGTGATGTCAACATCTTATTTACACCGGATATTGTGATGCAGGATCGGCACTTTTCCTCTACTTGATAATAATTCACTTTTATTGGAAACAATGGGGACTTCGACGCAGAAAGAAAGAAAAGTACGAGTGCCGAAGTCAACCTAACCTCTAATGGGTATTGCTGACATTTTAAAATGGAAAATCATTTGACTGGCTAAATTTATTGGTAAACATGATTTTTTATAGCAACTATTCCATGCTTCTCTTTTAACTATGTACAGATAATTATCTAAATGCTACGTTCACGTTTTTAAGCAGACATTGGTACTCTGTAGGTGTAATAAATGGTCGAGTGTTTGACGAGCTACTGGCACGAACATACCACCTTAACTTGTCATGTTGACACTTCACTACACGTGTCAAAGTTCGGTGACAAGGCTCCGGCCTTCGGCTCGGAGATTGATGTAAGGCAAGCTTACATAACGCTGCTTCTGCGGGCAGTCTGCGGTCAAGAGCCGGACGTCTGTCTGCGAGAGAGGTAAAATTGCAATAAGTGGGATTTTCAGTTTTGCGGGGAGGGGAGCAGCGCGCCATTGCACAGTGAGGACACGGCACGTTGGTTGAATGCCTGGTCGTGTAATGCAATGGTCCATGCTGTGAATTTATTTGCCCTCTTACTCATAATTATTTGAGTAATGTCGCGTATTTCTAGCCACAAGCCCTATAATTCACTTTTTGTGTTCTTCTTTGCACTGCTATGTATCAACAATTTTCTCTTATATTTCTGGTAGTTTATGCTCATTGTGACTGACGCTGTTATAAAGCCGTGACCTGTTTATTTAGTTGCAACTAACAAACATTTACAATCCAATACTTTTTTGGCCAGGAATGTTCTAACCTCCAAATTATAGAAAAACGAAGGAAATTATTAAGCAATCTCTCACATCATGATTGATAGAGACAGGATTTTATGAATTTATATTTTTTATACCGTTCTCAAAATAGTAATCGTGGCCAATCATCGCCCTCCTAACTCAATATCAATTTTTTCAATTTTTATATCCAATCCAATTACATATTTTTACATATATAGTACTATATTACAAATTTTACATATATTGATGTTTTAAGAAGTCACAAGTCACTTGGCCGTCTCATCACTTGGCCATCGCATCTCTTTACTTCACTATTTCATTACTTCCATTTGCCATTTAATTCATTTAGTTAGTCATCTCATCACTT